GGAGGTTGCAAAGTTACAGTGAACAGTGCTTTGTGTGCCAGTTTTCGCTGGGTTATTCTTTGTCTGTCATTTCCGGTCACCGGAACTCAATCATCATCTGTGTAATAATCACTTTGCCCAGTTTCCCATTATTACATATTATATTTCGCACTTGTCTAAGGACAGACTGTGTGTCAAACAAATCATGGTACAATACTCTATAAAAAAAGAAAAGCACTCCATGATTTGCATATGGGCTGAATACTGCCAGGTTGCCCAGGCCAAAGCAGGTGAATTTTCTTGAGGAATCCACAACGGGAGCCCTCGATTAACCAAAGCCTGACCCGCAGCGGTGCGGTGCGCGAAAACCGCAGTCCATCGAGAGTCGATGTTCAGTTCATCGGATCATACGCCCTTCGGACGGGGTCAGACATCCAAGGTGCCCAATACACCTCAATACGCAATCGAGCCAGTGACCACTGCCACAACCGAAAAGGTGTGGATGTGGTTCGTACGCCTCCTTTTGGTTGGTTTGGAATCAGAGTTTTTAGCCAACTCCCCTAGGTGAACTACCAGTGGTCCACCAACCCGGTTATAGCCCCGAGTGTTGGCTTTTTGTTCATTTTGGTGGAAAACACCTCCGCCACGAGAAGGCAGTGAGTAGGGCTTCCTCAGCAGAGGCCATTTGAGGCGCTTGGTCGTATGGGAGCATTTCGTGAAGTTCAAGGGAATGGTGACCAACCGCAACCCTAGACACCCATCCCCGACGATGCTGAGGCTTTTGGAGGCACAGTTTCCCATTCCTCTACGTCCGTCAGAAAACGTGAATAATATCCGAGCTCTTCGTTTTCTACGCCTCCTTGCATTTGTTTGTTTGTTTTTTTGATACGATGCAAAATAATTTTCATGATTGGTTCTTTTCCTGATGTCGTCAAATCATTTCACGTGTTCTCTTCTATTTTCGTATTGGTTTTCCAGCAATACCCGCCGACAATCCCGGTTCTCGCTGTGCTATCCAAGGCACAATCGCTATACCAGAAACGCTGATCATTAAGTTAACGTGACTGAGGCGAATGTGAATGGTTTCCTTGTCGAAAAAGTCGGTGACCCCAACTGCTGCGCAGATAAACGTTGTTCATCTGAATTTTGGATATTCTTGTTAGCCCCCCCCCGCCTCCTGTCTCACAGGTTGATCCAGTCCCAGGCATTCTGGTGAATCTTCACGGACCGTCCCCCTCCTCCGCCACCGCCCATAAACCGTATCCTTCACTACCGCTAGTGCTTCCATAATTTGTGGTCTCTTGTAACAAGTGGTTATTTTCGAATCAGAAAAATCGATTGTGATATTTGTTGATCTAATCTCCTCTTTTACGATTTAACTGACTTCTGGTTCGAATGTTTTCTTCGAGTAATGACGTGTACGTTGGTTCCCCACATCAATCGCCCGTTGTTTCGTCCTCTTATTTGACGGTAGATGGTTCTCGTTCCCTGTGCTCCATCTACCGTTTTAATGCTCCAAATATCCTTCCTTACCATCATGTTTAATCATGTAACAAATTTCTCTACAACTTGTTCTGGTGGTTAACTTTTACTCCGCACAATGATGGTCAATGTGTACGTTCGTACGCTCGCGTTTGGGGGGTTTACGAGAGCACATGTATTGGTGCGTAGGCAATATTCTGTTCCATTTTGATGAACGGCACACAGTAGTACGTTGGAGTTGCTATCATCTGTCATAAATGTTGATCTCTGTTCTCCAGTTTTGGTTTTGACTGTTCATCCGATTTGTTTTCGCACTGAGAACCATCTGCGATTCCAGGCCACAGTTGCTCAACTTTGGTCTTGCTGTACGTTCTAAACCGGGAGAGGCACAATGCTATTCTAAATAGGACGAGGTTACAAAGCGATTTATCCACTAACATCTAAATGTTCTACGTTGTAGCCTTCAGGTTATCACAAAAGGCGGAGCACTCACAGAGATGACACCATGTTGTGGTTTTATCGGATAGTTTTCTGCTTCAAAACCTTCGATTATGGTTCGTTTTTTGCTTCCAATTGGCTGACTTTTCCGCCTTGCACATGTCGATTAACGGTTGTTCTGACGGGTTCCTTCCAAAACGAAACAATGCAGATACTGAATGCTTACGTCGTCTTATATAGGGGAATGGAGGTCAATTGGTGTGGGTGAGTCTGGTTCACGAACGTGAATGAAGATCGGTCGAGTGGCATTCACGAAAATCGGGTTGATTGCATCTCGTGGTAGCTCGGTAATTGCGAGCACAGTGCTCGGCGTTTATAGGTTGAGATATGCGTAATTTCTCCTGGCGCATTGGGGTTTATGTATACAGTTTCCATCAACAATGTAATTGATCACACTTCCCGTGCTATGATCCCGGGATTAGTGTCTTGTATCTTATGGATAGGTGAGCATTTTGAATTATTCGAATTGTTTGGCAGATTGAAGTTTTATGTCGAGGTTGTGAAAAGTTCAGTTGCCTTGGTGAGATTCGAACGCACGCATGGACGCAGCCTACGCTTTTGTACAGCGCACTTTCTACCAGCTGAGCTACTTTTCAAATCCTCGACATAAAAATTCAGTCTGCCGAACAGAAATTTGAACAATTAACCTTGCCTTAGAAGTTCATTCGATGGATTCCAATGAATACTAAGGAAAACCCGTCATGGTGGTCAGACTACATGCCAACTGGTGGACGCCATATGCCTCTGTAAGTTAAATGGGTAATTCAAATGTGGAAAGATCAGTGCTATTGGTGTGGCCTCGTAGCTCAGCTGCTAGAGGATGCGCTGTAAAAAAGCGTAGGCGGCGTCAATGCGTGGGTTCGAATCCCACCTGTGCTACTGAACTTTTCAGGATCTCGGCATTTTGGATCAGTCAAATATGTGTACCGTTTCTCATTTTCTCCCTAAATTTATTTTGAAGGTACCACGCGCATGCACGTGCTCCTGTCATATTCATTTTTCACCCCCTGCATTTTGTTATCTCTTATTGTGACATTCGTCTAATTTCTATAAGGCGTGATTCGAT